TAGATGGGATAAGCTGTAAACATGTTTAGCTTTGAAGGGGATTTCAAAACAAGGCCCAAGGTGTCTCTCGGAGGAGCGAGTAGGAAGGTAAGAAACGACGCCTGTCTGTCTCCGCGTTTGTGTTTGTGTCGGTTTCCCTCGTCCCCCGCCTGCCTTGCTGCCTTGTATTATCGTTATTTTTACCGTTGGGCCTTCAAAAATGGGAGCAGCTATGACTAAGGTTTAATAGAGGGGAAAAAATCCTCCTCTCCTGATGATGTGTCTATCTCTGATCTCCTTGGCTTTTTTTTTTTTTTTAAATCAGGCCACACACACCCTCTCAGCCTTACAGTGTAGTAAGAATTGTGGGAAGCGAGGAAATGTCTCCTAAACCCCTACAAGCAGTCAGGTTTGTTGTCGCTGGTAGCACCTCCTGAGCAGTTTGTCTCTAGAGCTCCGGGGGTGAAGCAGGGAAGGGCTCGGAGACCTCTCGTCTGTTCTCTCCAAAGGGAAAGTCTGGCGTGGGCCCGCCTCGCTAGAGAGATTTGGAGGGGGGGGGGCAACAGCCTTACAGAAGTCGAGATCAATGCAAATTGCTGGGGGAGGCTTCGTCCACGTGAGTGAGGGTTGCGGGGTCACAGGTTTAGCTTTTGTCTGTCAAGTTTACGTTCAGTCAATTTGTCGTGTGCAGAGTGAGTAGCAGTTAATTGTCTGCTGTGCCAGACTATTGAATCTCCTTGTATTTATTGATGGAAAAGAAGCGAAATAGTTTATTTAGATCTTGCTGATTGGACAGTGTAGTCAAGTGTTTAGTCAAGCACTGAAGGGCATAGAACTACCGAAGAACAAGAGAAGGGACAAAATGTTTTTAGAAGTGACCTGATTTGTAAGGTTCACTTTAGTTCACTGCTAAAATACTGATTCCCCTTATTGTCATTGGACATGATTGTGTGGGAAGCTAATGAGTGTTTTTGTTAGTATTTTTGAACCTTAATATGAGTAAAAATAAGTCTTAAGTTTTTTTTATGTGCACTGTAAGCAAGGTCAGTTCTCTGAAACTTTTAAGGTTTGACAGTACAGTTAGGAAACTGGAGCTAAAATACTGCGCTATGTGATATCAAAATCACAGTGAAGTTTGCATTTTGGTGTATTGCCTTACATAATTTATTAAAGAGAATGTGTAACAGGTCTGTATTTAAATTACGCAGCTTTTCATCTGAATAATCTTCTGTTTATCTTAAGACATTTCTGTCATTAGACTACATACAATGGCATTACATCAGTCAAAAATACCATAAGTACTCCCTCACTGAAGTGGGAATTGACAGAACATGCCCCGGTCCTTGCCTGAACGCTTTAGGTACTTTACAACTTTTGACACTGACTTGCTGGTAGTGTTCTTTGCAGAACATGTTTCCTTCTGCAGAAGTAAACAACTGTCATAATATCTTCTTCTACACCTACTGATTTCTTAATGAAAATTCAGCAGAATTCTATCTATTTTAATTTTGCAGGACAAATTTATTAGTGTTATGCAGGTATAAATATCCAAGGGCAAATATTAAGTGGAAAATGGAAGTGGAAACAAATTGATGCATAACCTTCACTGTCATATGCAGAGGTGGTAATTTCTTGATCAGATTGATACTGACTGGTCCACAGATTTCATGATTTTACATTGGTACACTGAAGTCCTTGTATTGCATCAATGCAAATCAGTTAGTCACAGCTTTGGACAGCATGGTTATGTATACGACATCGTAGAATGGCCTTGAGAGAGCTGCTTATTTTCAGAAACTGTGAAATACTAATGAAAGGATTTATTTAAACAGCACTAAGAATTACTTCTAAAAATGCAGTTTAGCTGACCTTTTACGTAAAGATACTACAGCAGAGGTTGGTGTGGCAAGTGTTTATGTGGGTGCCATGAGAGTCTCTCTGTCTCATGTCACAGGCTGCTTGTGATCATGTTTCTCATACCTATAGGCCTTAGTTTTACAGAAGGCTGAATTGTAATGTTTCCTTTCAGATTTTTGCATACATGGGAAAAAAAAATTGTTCTTTGACAAACCCTCTTGCCCTCCCAAATGTGTATAATTTTAGAAAGATACAGCATATATTTCCAACCCTACACCTCTGCCATTAGTTAGCTGGAGGCTTAGTCCTGGCTGTTTTGATTCCTTTGGTGGAATAAAGCACAACTCAGAAATACTGGTAGAATCTGTATGCAGGCTGCTTAATGCTAAGAATAACTCTCTACCCAATTTGGGGAAGTTTCCCAAATGTCATTGCACCTGTATAGCTACATTACCAAAACCCTTCCAGTACGAAAGCGGAGACTCCAATTGGAGGAGCTAGTCAGTGCTAAAGATGTCAGTGGAGTCTTCCTGATGTGGATACAACTATACCAAAATAAATGATCAGCAAAACTGACTATTAAAAGTATGGTTTTGCTAATATAACTCCAGCTGCAAACAATAACTGTGTTGATCACGGTTGATACCCTGTGTGACATCACTGTGTATGTCTGTACTGTTTCCTTAGGCCTCATGAGAGGTTGACTTCAATAAGTCTTATCAGTAGAGAGACACAATTATAGAAAGATGGTTGTGGACTTGTGGCACTGTGGCAGTTAGAAAGGTACTGAATCTAGTGTGCTTTCTCACTACTAACTTTTAGGGCATTTTTGAATGCCAAAAGCAGAGAGCTTCATGTTTGGCTTTACACTGTTTGCATCTTCTGTTCATGTACATTATGATGGTCTGAATTGCAGGTGCTGTAGAGGCACTTCAATCCAACCAGACCTTTTGCCAAAAAGGTAGTCTTTAAGTATCACTAATTTTTGATAAAATTCTGAGTTGCAAAATTTATGTTCTTGAAATGACTATCCCTGTGACTGATCCTTTCAAAATATTATTGTAACACTTTAATATTGCATTGTACATAAGTGTAAAAATGTAGGTGATATTGCCAATGTTTGGACTTTTCCTTCATATCTACTTTCAAAAACCTGATGATTGATTTGGACTATTTGCATTAATTGTATATGTGTTTGAGGGTGTAGATACTGTGTTTTATTTACAATGTGATAAGTGAATTTTTCTATTTGTTGGTTCCCCCCCCCCGCCCCCCCCCCCAATTTTTGGGGTTGCTTGTTGTCAGCTTTAAAACATGATTCCCTGTTACATAAGGTTATTCAAAAGATATTTTCAGATTTAGTTTTAATTGTAACTGACAAAACATATTTTTTTACTTCTGAAGTGAAATACCCTCCAAAAATGAATACTCTTATTTGAGTTCAATACGCAAACGTCTTGCATTACTCATGGACTTCTTGTACAGGACAGTAATTGTTGCCTAAAAGGCTGTGGCTGCAAAATTTGGGTGGTGTGTCAGGCAGGAAAAGAAAGGTGCATCTGAAGAGTTGGTTTGGGGTGTGGTTCAAATTGAACTAACCCAACCAAGTGTGCAGTGGACTGAAACAGATGGTCCTTCACCTGGGTGGCTCCTGCCCCATCCTTTGTGTCCTGTAGAGTGAACATATTTCTTCAAGGTGGAGTGTCACCATGCCTTCTGGTGGCAGCTGGTGGGTTTCACTGATTTTATCATGAAGTTGGACCCTTGGTGGCATACTGCAGAATCTGTTTAACCATGTCAGCTTGATTTGGTACAGTCAGGCCTAGTGTTTCTTTATTAATTTCATCAGCATTAAGAAAAATCTGAGGTATCAGTCCTTTAGTACATCAGTGCAGGGGGATCCCCATGCCTGCGCTGAGAGGTACAATGGGCTCTGTAGCTCCACATTATTCATTTAGGTTGTGAAAGGTATTATTGATGTCTTGTAAGCCTTTAACAGGACAAATGGTTAAAAGAATATTATTAAGTCAAATGTACAGTATCACTGGAGCTATCTAAAACATGCTTTTATAAATCCCAAGACTGTTTAAAATAGAGTATTTTAAAATTATAATCCAGTATGAGATGGTTTTGAAAAAACCTTCCTTTTCAGGAACTTGTAATAGAGATGAATCAGCACTGTCATGAAAGTGAAACCAACTTCACCGAGTTTCTTTTTGGTTTTGTTTTTGTGGAAGACATGGAAAATTACTAATGAACAAATAATGATGACTCCATCTGTATTTTAAAAAGTCTCTGTAATTTCTTTTAATATGGACATTTTTAATAATCAAAGATCTTCAGTTTACGAAGTTTGTATATGTTTTATTTTAGTAGTTACTGATATGCTTCCTTAAATTAATAGCGTAACATTAAGCATTAGATTCCTGCATATTTTCCCCCCTGCTCTCAGCTGAAGTGCAGAGGTAGAACTCCAGAACTACCTTGTTTGCTCTTTGTTGTCTGTATTCTATGCCTGAAGTAACTTCTTGTGGAATAAAAATTAACGATTTAAAAGCGATAGGTTGTAAGATTGCCAGTGTATGAAGAGATCTGCACAGGTTGGGGTTGCTTATGGTGGTAGATGTCTGTAGGATTTAAGCAATGATGGGACAGATGTTAAATTTTTTTTTTCTCTCTCTTACTGAATGATTGAGAAAAGTTGTTAATAATTTCAGAAAAGAAGGATTACTATTGTTTTGTATCTTATTTGAACCTGCACCAGATCACAATGGAAATGAAGTGATGCTGGGGATTTATAGTGCAAAATTTCTAGATTATAATTACAAATTTACAGCTTGTTTTTGAATGATGGGAAAGAATTGCACTGCTTTGCTCCTAAGAGTACCTTTGTTCCATGAGGCACATCGCATAGATCCTTATGTAAGTACGTACCTTATTCTGAGCCAGAACTGTGTTTTGTCCAGAACATTGAAAAGCCAAAGCCTAAGTCTTGAACTACTCTTTGAATTTCAGATCTGTGGTGTGGAAATATGATGAGACTATCATGTTGTAAAATAATGACTGTCAGTGGGAAGCTGTGTAATTTATGCATACTAGATTCTTGTGGATTTTTCCCTCTCGATGACATTTAAAATTCTCCTCGTTTGAAAAGAAGCTACAAATGATGGAGTTTTAGTTAGCCGCAGCAGTGATTATGCTGTAACTTTCAGTTATGTGTTATTTTCTCTAATTCAAAACAAATTCTTCTG